CTTGGGCCAAAGAGGGCTAGCTGGGGCTTCGAGGCGCAGTGAAAGGAGAGGCGGACACTAGTTTTCTGATCACACACACACGAGTACATGCGCCAAACAAACAAACAATTAAATAAACAAGGGAAAGAAAACATCTAGCCTTATAGGCTGGGGTCTTTTTGCGTATAATTGCCATTATATTTCCATTTTTAATGTAAGGCTGTTGCATATAATAATAAAGTTTTAATTTATAAGTGACTTTGCTGCATCCTCCTTGATGTTTCAATAACGCATAAAAATCTTCACACCATATTAAAGACACAGCAGACAGTAAAGGTTTTCGAGAGTTTTTGTCAAGTTTAAAAGGTGAGTTTGTCCGTGTTTAGATGCCTGTATGTGAATGTGAGACAGAACAGAAAAGCATTTCCTTCACAGCTCTGTTGATGCTGCGAGCGGCTTCTGTTTTTATTTATTTTAGAGATAATACGCAATATGAATACAACGGAAAGACATAAAACTTTACAAACTTTGTGTTCACTTGATAAAATAGCCTAAGCTATATTGAAATTATTTAATTACAAATGTTGGATATAATAAAATCACGTAAAATAAATAAACCAATATAAAACAAATAAAAGCTAACTATAATAATTTAGGTATAGCCTATAAACAATACATAGATCAAACCGTTTTTAAGCCATATTAAGCTTTCATTTTACAAAGGCCTATCTGAAAAAAAAAGATTTTACATATTTTCTAAAAACAAATGAAATATTATTTATAAAATATTTGGATATGATGGTATTAATCAATTCATGCAAACAGAGCATTTTTGGGTGAGTGAAAGCAGAAACTAGGCTGCCTTTTTTCTGTCACACAGTCCTGCAGCGCTGCTTTACAAACGTGTCAGGGAAAACTGCAAATGCAAAATGTGTTTTATGTCCTCAAACAAGTGTTTATGTTTTAAATGACGTGATAAAATTTATAAATGAAATTTTTAAAACATGTAGAGCTTTATTAAGCTGCTGAGCGCCACAAAATATAGGCTATATTTTATTACTTACTCTTATGTCCTGAAACACTTAACACTTTCCTTTACTCTAAGATCACAGAATAATATGCAACATCTTTAAATAAAGGGGAATCACCTAGTAAGTTTCATATATATTTTTATAGGGAAAAATGTATATGTTTCAGGTCTCTCTGGACCATTTGGGCTAGTTGTTTGACAGCGTCTATCTAAACGAGGATGTTATAAAATACATTGTCTACTGCATTATTAATGGAGAATTTCTGTGGTTTTATATTATGGATAGGTGTGTTCACTGTGCTGGGTCCCTCCATTTGTGGCGAGACCACTCCATACACAATGCCAACAGTCGGTCGGCGAGTAAATGAATATGATGAATGAGAACACACAGGCCTGTGCATATAGACATATAATGTAATGCTGTACTATAACGTGTCGTTTGTTTGTTTCAGTTGTCTTCATTTTAATGGTTTCATGATGATGTGATGGTGTGCTTTATCTGCCTGATTCCCGCTGAAGTGGGGGGGTTGAGTGACGTTTGATTCGGGGGACATTCTGGGGGCGGGGTTTGCGTGACCCACTAGCCCAACAGTGGAAACGCGACATGATTTCGACCTCACTGCTCAAGCTCCCGGGCGATTGGTCCGGCCCGATAAAAGCCCTGATTCGCACTGGCCCGACAGTGGAAATCCAGCTAATGGTTGGCATCATCTCTTCCCAGGTCTTACTTCTTGAAGTCATATAGGAGAAGACTTATAGACTTATCGTTGTAATCTCACTTGGAAATGCACAAATCAAACGCAGCCTGCATATTAATGATCCTGTGTGTAGCGTACCAGTGTTTTGTGATAGGATGTCATGAACTGAACTTTTAATATTCAGCTATGCCTATAGGTATATCCAGATTTTTGTTATTTGGCATCTTTAAGTTTTTTTAACACTGTGCTTCATACTATACAATAACCAGCCACTTTATTAGGTACACCTTACTACCTATTGTAGATTAGTCAGTTGCACATCCACGATGCCAATCTCCCATTCCCCTACATCCCAAAGGTGCTCTATTGGATTGAGATCTGGTGAATGTGGAGGCCATTTAAGTACAGTGAACTCATTGTCATGTTCAAGAAACCAGTTTGAGATGATTCGCTTCATTACATGGCACATTATCCTGCTGGAATTAGGCATCAGAAGATGCAAAACGCTTAAAAATAGCTCTTTGACCTTTTTGTGAGCACTATGCGATGACCCCCAAAATGATTGAACTATAGGTTGTTCTCTAATTAAGGAATTATCGTTAAACCGTCAACTGAAATGGAGTTCCATGTTGTTCTGATTGAGTTTTAAGTGATGGCAGACACCAAATCAAAGCTTAGCTCTAGTTTTCTGTGTTACTATCAATATACATATGCTTAACAAAAGAACCCTTTTTTGAAAATACAGGTGAACAAGGGTCCCTGTAGTTGGAAAAGACAGATGTTCACTAAGGTCTTGGTTGCTCTTAATCCTCTAAGAAATGCCAGTGTCAGGCATGCTGGAGAAGCTGCACTTGATCATGCAGACATTTTATTTATAATTCAATACGAGAGGGGGAAAAGAGACAAGTGGGAATTCTGTCCAGGTGTCTGATCCTTTTTTCACTGCACACAGATGATATGCTCAAAGAATAAGGCTAGTAACCAAGTATGGTAAATTCCTTGGGGCTTTTGAAGGCACTTCATTAGACACTTTCTCATGATGTTTTGCAAGCCACAGAAGCTCTTACTCACTGGAACATCAAGGAATCACATTTTTTTCAAACCTCATTTGGGGAATCCAGTGCCTCCCTTCATCACACTTTTCTGTTTATGTAGTCATTTGCAATTCAATTTTCATCAGAATAAAAAATTATATAAAAATATGCAGTCCGTTAAAGGCAAGTTACTACAAGTTTGTAAAATGTAGTCTTTAATTTCAACATGACATTTAAAAAGCAGCTCAAACTGTAAATATGCAATGCTTTGTAACATATATATATATATCATCAGTCAGTGCCCCTATTATGATTTTCGTAGATGTTTACATCTTTGGTCCATGTTAACACGAAACTCATTCTGATAAATATTAGCAAAGCAATTATCATGAAGTGTATGTAATAACTTGGTTGGAATTGTTTTTGATATTTGTTTTACTACTACTGTGTGAACAAGGTTAAGGATAACAAAATAAAGCAATACAAAAAATTGTCATAAAGTGCACTAAAAACAAACAGGAAGTGAAGGAGCTGGAAAATACTGAAGGTCAGATCATGAGGATCACAGCATCAGGAGATACCAACAAAGGCTCAATTTGAAAAGGGAAGTGAGTAGGCGGGTCAATCAATACAATTGGTTGGGTTTACAGAAGCAGAATTCACTTGATCGGTCAGTCAGCCAATCAGTCAGTCGATAGCGGCCTCTAGTGGATTTATGTGAGAAAACAAAAACTCCAAAAAAAAAAACGTAGCTCCTGGGACATATTTGGAGCTGTCCAGAAATGTGTATAGAGCTACGTTTTCAGAATGAGCCTGGGTTGGGAGATACAGAAGTTCACTGAGGCTAAAATTGACTAGCAGTTGTTTAATTCTTGCTTGATTGTAATTCATTACATACTTTATGTCTCTATCAAAGTTATCTCATATGATGAAGACAAATTTGATCTGACAGTTTCACCGTGAGTAACAGTTTAATAGCAAATAAACTGATAATAGAAGCAACTTGAAGTTGTCTGAATAGTTTTTTGGTTTGGCTACAACGGGAAAATAAGTATTAAACACATCATGTTTTTTTTTTGTTTTTTTTTTCCCTGGGAATAATATTTCTAGATTAGCTTTTAACATGGAATTAAAGCAAATTTTGGTAAAATACAAACAAACAATACAAACAAAAACAAAACTAAACAAATTGGAAAATTTAGAACAATGCAACGCCACAAAAATAAACTAATAAAACGTATTTAATACTTTATATACAGTAAAAGGCTTTTTTTGGTGATGGCAGCTTAAAGATGCCTCTTAAATGGAGAATGAATTCACATGCATTTCTCGGGTGTGATTTTCCACAAACCTCAACAGTGTAAAAATCTTGATGGTTCTGTCTCATCTATTAAATCTGGTCTTTAATTTGTATTTTCTATTGGATTCAAGTCAGGTGTTTGGCAGGGCCATTCTACAGCTTGATTTTCTTTCTCTGAAAGTCTTTGAGAGTTTCCTTGGCTGTGTTTTGGATCATTGTCTTGCTGGAATGTCCACCCTGGTTTCATCTTCATCCTCCAGATAATGTAGATGTTGGACTGAAGCAACTAATTTGGTTGCTGAATAACTACTAAGAGATTTCAGCTGCTGTCTGGGGTTTAACTGCCTTTCTGCACCTCCCTTTCTTCATGTGTTTAATACTGTTTCCCTCTGTCATTTCATTTATTACACATAACTTAACTTGTAAACTAATTAGATTTGTTTTCTTTGCATATATAGCTTACTTTGGTTGTTACCAACATCCGGTGAAAATGTCAAGTCACCTTTAGAAATATGTTTTCTAAGAAAAATGGTGAGGTGTTCAATACTTGTTTTCCCTGCTGTATATGTGTCCAAGGAACTGAGCTAAAAGAGAAAATGTCTCAGGTTTGGAAACAAAAAGCACCTTCAGACACTGAGAATATAAGACGCCCCTGCAATGTATTTTAAGGTAAAATTGTGTTTTTCTGATCTTGGATGGATGTAAACCACATACTAGAGCTCCTAAACTTTTAATTGGGCACTTATTCTAAATGCAGACTGAGGCATATTTTAACAGCATAGCGTTGTTTTAAAATGCAGAAATGTTCCAAGCAGGCACCACTGAGAATATCTGTTGTACTGAAAAGAAAGTTTGTTGTACAGTATATAAAATATAGACGCAGTACATTGTAGGCACAAACAGACATAGTATTGGCAAAATCATAACAACATTATAAATCAGTACAGTCTTCAGCATCATTTATGGTGGATGTCAGCAGCAGCAGCGCGGTACAAATCCTCGGAAGAATTTCCTGAATTCGGTGTTGAAGACGGTGTAGATAATTGGGTTGAGAGCGCTGTTCACATAACCCAGCCATGTCACTGTGCTCATCAGGTCTGAAGAGATGTGGCAGGATTCACACAGAGCTCGAGTGGTGTGAACCACAAAGAAAGGAGTCCAGCAGAAGAGGAAAACACCTGCGGAAACATCACACGTAACTCTGCCATCAGTCGAATTAAGAGACCAGACATTATATTTTAGACAGTATTGTTTAAGACACATGATATATTTACATTTTAGAAGTTTGTTTGTGTGTGTGTGTGTGTGTGTGTGTGTGTGTGTGTGTGAACACAATGCCCATCCCACAGCTAAAGATTAAGCAAAATTGGGTCATGCAACAAGACAATGGTCCCAAGCACACTAGCAAACAGCTGAAAAAGAAAATCATCTTGACTAAAACGCTGTGATGAGAGCTGTGCAAAAAACTCCTCCAGAATGATCTGTGAGACATATGTGGTCATACAGAAGATGATTATTTTTAAGTCATGACTGTCTAAAGTGCATCTACAAGCATCTGAATCATATGGTTTCCTACACTGGAAAAAAAAAATTACATTCATACAATTAAAAATCTAAATTTGATCCCTTTCCCCAACGAAAAGTAAATCATTTGCCTTAAACAATATTTTGTACTCCATGAGAACTTTTGTTCTAAAAAAGAAGATATTAGATTAGTGATCTAATCCTTGCAGATCACTGGTAAAAACACAGATCATTAAAGAACTACAAATCTGCTTTTACATGGACTACAGAACCAGTCATGCACCACACACTCACACCTGTTCTGGTTGTCCACTGATTGCTAAGACACACAGCTGAAGCTGTTAAGAAATGATTACATGGACTTTAAAAGCAGCACAGACACAGGCTGTTTCTCAACATGTGTTTTCGGGTAACGTCATCATCAGCTGCCAAAGTTCAGTTCCAATACTTAAGACCGCAAAAACAGAGGGCGCGTGAAACTTCCTGCATGTGTTCTTGATTTCAAGGACACAGATGCAAACTTAAGCACTGAACTCGCGCTAGATGTCCCAGAAGTCATTGCGAATGGAGATGGGAAGCGCAGCATTTTATTTAGATTTATTATTAAAGTTTAGAGAAATGTCTTATTTATCTCAGGAGTTTCCTTAAATGAGATGGTGAATATAAACATCACCATGGGCATCTTAATAAAGGATTAAGGGTAATAAATACATTAAGGGTGTTTGTTTGCTGAAATTCATATTAAAATCTGTTTTATTTATATTGTGCAACGAATATTTGTAAAGTCTTTATGCATAGTATATATATTAAAAAGGGGAAAACAATAAGTCCTATGAATGCTCTAATGTTTCAATTATTTACTATTAAAACCCGTGAAGTTCACATGACCATCAGGAAGAATGCAGCATCTCATTTCTCACAGAACGCGTCCTCTGTTCCCGTGGTCTCTAGAGTTCTTTCTTCCGAGGACACCTGGCAAGACTGGTCTCCACAAAAACGCAAGTCTGTTCTCTGCATTCTTGGAATTTAGAAACAGCCACACTCAAGTTGTCCTATTAAGCAGTATTGTGAGCATCATGACCCGTTTCCTTTGCTGGTTTGTTGATTTACGTTGTCTGCTGCCTGCCTTTTGACCATTTGCCTGTTTATTAACCACGACTCTGGAATGCCCGTATATATCTGTTTGTTTCTGTGTTGACCATTGCTTGCCTGACTATTATCATAATAAATCCTACATTTGGATCTGTACTTCCTTATCAGTGCCCCTATCACATTACAAAGTGTTTGCATGACAATACAGACAAAGCAAAATAATACAGTATAATAAGCAAATATCAGTTTGCAACATCAAGCAGCCGAACGAGCCATTTTTAACGTCTGAAAATGAATGGAAATGAATGAAACCGAAAGCCAAAACGATTCAAATGGCTGCACCTGCTTGTACTGTATGCGAAGAATAAGGTCAATAGCTATAATCAAAACAACAATTTCCATAAAATGTTCATTTATCCAACTAAACAAAAATTAATAAGGGTTACACATCGTAATTTGACCGCCTGAGCCAATGGAAAAAAAAATCATTTGCCTTAAACAATAAGTCCATGAAAGTACAAAGCTCATCAAACTTCTGATTAATACTCGTTCACTGGCCTGTGTGAATAACCTTAAAATATTACATTGGTCAAAACTAATTTTTCTCAGTTGAGCTCTAATCAAAAATATTTATATCTCACAATGTTTTGAACTTAAAATGTATGACTTAAAAAATAAACAAATCATATTCAACTGAAATGAAAGATACATTTTTAATTGGATGAAGTACTGTTTAAATTTATTTTCTGTCATGGGTAGAAGAAGGAGTGAACTCAAATGCAGAACACAAAGAATTTATTGAGGAGTAAGTTTTTGCAAATAAAGAAAACCCAGTCGGGTGAGTGCCGGGAAAGTGCCGTGGAAACGGTCCAAAATAACGGGATATTCGTTCACTGGCATCCCTGGACACAAATATGGGGTGAGTAACAGAAGGATATACACACACATCAACACCAACACACTGACAAACACAAAGGGAAATGACGTGCTATAAATAGGAAAAAAGGGATGAGAAAAAGGTGGAGCGAATTAGCTCAAATAACCTGTGACTTAATGACTGAGTATAAAAGCAGGTAACTGAAGGTAATCTGTGACATAAAACTAGAGGAGAGAGTGAGAAAACAAGGTACGGTGACAGAACCTCCTCCCTTAAGAACGCCTCCTGGCGTTCCCTGAAGACTCACCATGGGTCTGATAAAACTGATCAATAAAAAAAGAGCCATCCTGAATGTCCTGAGCTGGGATCCAACACCTCTCCTTTGGACCATACCCCTTCCAGTCTACCAGATACTGATAACTTCTGCCTCTCCTCCTCTCGTCCAGTAGCTGGCGCACTGTGTATGTAAGTGCATCCTCAACGAGTCTGGGATGTGGAGGAGCATAGGTTAAAGGCTGTAGGGGGGAGGGAAGAACGAGTTTGATCTTAGACACATGGAAAACCGGGTGAATAAAACTGAAGGCTTAATTTGAGTCGAATTAACACTGTACTGAGCACCTTGACAATGGTGAATTTAGGTCCCAATTTACGTGAGGAAAGTCCGAGAGCAATATCCTTGGAAGACAACCAGACTTTCTGACCACACACGTAAAGAGGGGGCATGGAACAGTGGCGATCCACAGACGCCGTGTTTCTATTACCAGTCGGGATAAGGGCATTTCAGGCAATTCTCCATGTTTGGAGACATCTCTGAATGAATGCATGGGCGAAGGGAACAATGGCATCTGGTTCTTGGGAAGAGAATAGAGGGGGCTAATAGCCTAAGCAGCACTGGAAGGGAGACAAACCCGGAGTTATGTGCATATCTGACCATGGTTAATCTGTAAGACCAAAAAGACGGTTACTCAGACGCAACACAGCACAGGACCCTCTCCAGTTCCTGATTAGCTCGCTCGACCTGGCCGTTAGTCTGTGGATGGTACCCTCAAGAAAGGCTAGTGGTTACCCCCAGCTGTCTTCAGAATTTTGCCCAAAACTTAGACACAAATTGGGAACCCCTGTCTGAAACCATGTCATGGCCATGTATTCCATGCCAGGCCATGAATAAGGAAGAAGTGGTCCAAGACAATGGCTGCTGTCTCCCTCGCTGAAGGTAATTTGAGGGAGGAATAAAGTATGCCGCCTTCAAAAATCTGTCCACCACAGTGAGGACTACTGTGTTGACACTGGATGGGGGTAACCTAGTGACAAAGACCATCCCTATGTGTGACCAGGGTTGCGAAGGGATGGGCAGTGGCCGGAGAAACCCTGCTGGGGGTCAATTAGAGCTTTTAGCTACTGCACAGAACGGACAAGCCAATACAAACTAACGAGTGTCCTGCACCACTGATGGCCACCAGAACCGTTGCTTGATCAACCCAGTGGTGCAATCTGCTCCTGGGTGGCAGGCTAGCTTAGACGAGTGAACCCACTGTAAAACCTTGGTGCGGATAGACTCAGGCACGTATAGCAGATTGCTGGGACATTTGTTGGGCGTGGCAATGGTACGAAGTGCCTTATGGACCACAGACTCTACCCCCAGGTTAACCCTGCAACCACACGTTCAGGTGGCAGGACAGCAACCGGAAGGGCGGGTCTGGTCTCACCCTCACTTAGACATGATATGGCATTGGCTTTACCATTCCCTCGCGATAAGAGATATGAAAATCAAACCGGCCAAAAAATAGTACGAGCCTGACGAGAATAAAGACGTTTGGCTGATCTAATGTATTTTAGGTTTTTATGGTCACTCCAGACCACGAAAGGAACCCCCAACCCTTCTAGCCAGGGATGCTACTTACCCAATGCCAACCTGACAGCCAGTAACTCTCTGTTCCCGATGTTGTAATTTCATTCCAAAGTTGTTAATCGATGGGAAAAGAAAGCGCAAGGGTGTATTCTGTCGTTTGACGAGGACCATTAAGAGAATCCGTTGGGCCAATCCGCAACCGGCTGAAATGGGGCTATCCAGGACGATCATAGAAATACCCAGCCGCTTGGCTAAGTTTAAGTCCATAAAGTCCCTTTCAGCTCCTGAATCGATTAGAGCAGACACCTGTTTAATGGAACCCTTAACTTTTATCCAGGCTTGGAGAGACGCCCGGCCCCCAGACAGTGCACTTATATTCGTGGCGCTCACCGCCAAACTGCCCTTAACTGGTTTACGCCGCTCTCTAATAGGGCCACCTGATGCCCTGCCTCCCTGCAGTAGAGGCAGAGATGTTTAGAGATGCGGAAGCAAATCGCATGGAGATGCGTTTTTGCATCGGCTGCTCCCCTGAGAACCCAGACTGTTGTGGCACGAGCACATCAAGCACACCGGTGTTCCTGGGTGAAAACTCGTCAACTCCGCCCTTTGCAATGACGCCCTCTGAAAGTGATCCCGTTGTCAACCCGGATGGCGAGATCCATTGTGAGTGGATGGCAGCTGAAGCGAGAAAATCTTGTCCTTCATATACTCAGCCAGGCCGTAAAGGAACTGGTCCCATTGAGCTTTGGCATTCCGACCATTGCTTGCCACCAGGGTGCGGAACTCGTTGGAATAATTCGCCACCGAGCACTCTGCTTGTTGAAGTGCCGTTAGTG